TATAATATCATATCATTTCATATCATTCTATATCATTACATATACTGTATTTTCATTTCATTTCATTTCATACTATATTTCATATCATTTCATACCATTTTACATCATTTAATTTCATTATTAAGTGGAGTTAGCTTAGTGGTTAAGATCAATGCCGTAGCCAGGATTTTCAAAAAGCAAAATATCAGGGTGGATCCACTTTATACATATATTCAAACAATGTGGACCCATTTTATTCAAAAATATGAAAAATCTGGACCAATTTTCTTAAATTTTACCCATTTTAAGCTAAATATGAGAAATCTGGACCCATTTTTCAAAAAGTAGACCCATTTTATGCATAAAATTACATAATTTGGATCCCTTTTTAAAATATGGACCTATTCTTTGCGGACCCATTAGAAAAATTGTGTGGGACTGTCCCAACTATCCCAAGTTAAGATGCTTGCTGTCTAATCCCATGCCCTGGGTTTAATTCCAGACTTTTTCTCATGACTTAAAACAACTCCACTCTAAGCCTCATAAAGTGACATGGTATATAAAACACTGTCAATCCTGGAAGTGTCGAGTGTACTTCCATTTGGATTTTTATACATCGGTACAGTATATGCAAGCAATGAATTTTGACATTTGTGGTTGACATGTTATGACATCTTGTGTTTTTTTTTTGTTTTTTTTTTTTACATTTGTGGTTATTTTGACATTTGCGGCTACAATGTTTTTACATTTGTGGTTATTTTTACATTTGTAGTGGATTTTTAGATTTGTGGGCTCTACAGACCCATTCACCAACAGAGTACATAGTAAATGCAGTAACACCAGAATAAAAGCAACCATCTTAATTATTTTTTTTTTGTAAACAAATTTAAAAAAGAGGCCGGTAAAGGAGAAAGTGCAACTATTGGAAAGAAAATGAGGATATGTGCCATTTAAACAAGACTTCTGGGAAAGACACAGTATAATGTTTGATGGTCTATGTTTACAGTATTTGAAACTATTACCGGTATTCAATTTTTTCTACAGGTCTTGGGCAAAAACAAAAGCACAGTGTTGTGGAGAGCAATCGCGATGACGCTGGTACCAAATTTGATGCGTCTTTTAAAATGTCATTGCCGCGTAGGTTTTCATCAGACGATGACGAACCAACGTATGTAAAACAAGGTATCATTATTACCAACATAGTTCACCTAAATGCATACTACAGATGTTTATCGTCACTGTCCAGAACAAAACGTTGCAAGAAACGTTATGATAGTACAATCCACTCTATTTGGAAGGAAAGCGAAAGCCTCCGGACAAAATCGCCATACTGGAGCTGGCTTAGACACAAATTGAACGATACCAAGGCTGAAAGACAGTTCAGAGCTCAATTGCTAGCTTCTATTAAGGGATCTGTAAAAATCATCACTTCACCTTTAGTACCCAAACCTCTTGACAAACAGTTAAGTGCTGTGTTTCAATCAACAACTCCCTGGTTTCAACATTCTGCTCACCAGCATGCAAGTAGTTTCAAACGTGTTTGTTTTGACCGTCGTGCCAAGCCAGAGATGTTAACAGTTGATGAAATGTTGGATGAAGAACGGAGCTGCAAAAGAAAGGTTCCGTCAAATAGGCAACACCAGTTAATACATGAAATATTTAAATATTATCCTAACCAAAAATCAGTGGTTCCAAACGGGTTTGTTTTGACCTTCATGACAAACCAGATTTGTTAACAGTTGATGAAATGCTGGATGCAGACCGGAGCTGCAAAAGAAAGGTTCCATCAGATAGGCAACATAAGTTAATACATGAAATATTTAAATGTTATCCTAACCAAAAAATCAGTGGTTCCAAACGCATTTGTTTCAACCTTTGTGACAAGCCAAAGCTGTTAACAATTGATGAAATGCTGGATGCAGACCGGAGCTGCAAAAGAAAGGTTCCGTCAGATAGGCAACATCCACACGATCCTACCCCAAAAATTAGTGGTTCCAAACGGATTTGTTTTGACCTTCGTGACAAACCAGAGTTGTTAACAGTTGATGAAATGCTGGATGCAGACCGGAGCTGCAAAAGAAAGGTTCCGTCAAATAGGCTACACCAGTTACACGTTTCGCTAACCAGAACCAGGAGCTTTAACAACAGCAGCAACAACAGTAGCAACAGTAGTAATAGTATGTAGTAGCAAGTAGTTAGTGGTAGTAGGAAGTAGCTAGTTTAGTAGTAGTAGTAGTAGTAGCAGCAGTGTATAGTAGCGGTAGTGTAGTTCAGTGATATTAGAAGTAGAATTAGCACAGTGTTGTAGCATTGTAGTATGTTAGTAATGCCTGGTAGTGATAGTATAGTTGTTGTAGTAGTCGTAGGTGGTGGTACAGCTGTAGTAGTAGCAGTAATAGTAGTAGCAGCAGCTGTAGTAGCAGCAGTAGTAGGCCTAGTAGTAAAAAAGCAGCAGTAAAATAGCAATAACAACAGCTTCAGCACTGACACCAGCATTCGTTGTAAGATAAAAGTGCAACAGCAAAGAGCATGGCAGCAATAGTGGGCAACATGGCCATAATACAGTGGTAGCAAATTAGCAGCAGCAATAACACAGAGTGTCAGTAATAAATTTATAGCAGTACAGCAGTATAGCAGCAAAGTGGCAGCAGTAAACATAAAAATAACAGTGGCAGCATAAAAGAGAGTAGCACCCATAGAAATAGAAAAGTTGCAGTTGCAGTGTTAAAAATATTGGTAGCAGACGGTACTGAAGTCTTAGTGACAGCAGCTATAGCAGGGAGAGAGCAGTGGCAGTAACATTCTGCCGAGCACTCACCGCACCCGAGGTCGTTGACTGATGCAATTCTACGGAAAACGCAACACAAAAATGCATGCACAACAAATTGTTTTTTAATGACGATCCCTCCAGACTGCCACTGGCAATCAGCAAGCGGTGTCACATCGCCCAGCGCTCATAGGGAGCGGAGTTGGACTTGTTGTACGACTGTATGACCATCGTACGCGCAGTGAGTTCCTGACTTTAGCCATAACCAGGGGAAGATTTAGGAGGGGGGGGGAGGCGCGGCCTGGCCTCCCGGCCCCCACCTTTGAGAGGTAAAAAAAAAAGAAAAAAAGAAAGAAAAAGAAAAAACGATAACTCAGAATGCCTCAAATGTTATTTTCGGGCGACTAAAACACAGAAATTTCGCGGGGGCATGCCCCGGACCTCCTATTTCAGTCCTGTCTCGATTGGCCCAAATTTCGGTCCCCCACCCCCCTTTTGGACATTTCTGGATCCGCCCCTGATAACAGTAGCAACTACAAAGAAAATGGTTGCAGCAATAATAGGGGCAAGCCATTAACATAGAGGGAAAACAGCATTAGCATTGGCAGTAGCAAATTAGCACTTACAGCAGCAAAACAATAGCAGCATCTAAGTAATAGCAGCAGCAGTGACAGCCGCAAAAGCAGAAGTATTTTCAATAATGACAGCAGGAAGTGGCATAAGCAATAACATTTGATTAGCAGTAGCATGCAACTCTGTCATAGCAGTGATGACATTTTTGGATATCCCTATCTGTGAAACCGACCATGAAACCATCAAACAACCATGAAAAGTTCTAGGGTTTCCACTTACTATTAGGTTTCCCTACAATAAACCAATTATTACATGTAAATAAATGATAATTGTGTGTAGTATCAAAGTATAGAAAAAAATATTCTGATAATAATATTACATGACAATGATAAAAAAACAATTGAATTGTTACAATAAGATAACATGAAATAGATCTAAATACAAAATTCTCAATTATACATTTTAAAGCTTATTATAATAATAACAATATTAGCGTATTATAATAATAGTAATGTTAATAATTATACAGTATTATTAATAATATTAATATTAAAGAATTCTAGTAACCATTGCACTGGTGTTAAAACCTACAATAATGTCTAAAATCTCTTATTAGTGTTACAGTATTTAAAAAATCCAGTAACTTAATTTTAATATATTTTATAAAATTCAAACACTAATATTTATGTTAATAATTATACAGTATTAATAATAATAGTAATATTAGAGGATACCATAATATTGCAGCTAGTAACCATTGTATTGGAGTTAGAACCTACCTAAAATGTTTAAAATTGCTTTAGTATTAAATTTAATATTAAAATATTTTACAAAATTTAAACTCATAAGCTAGCAATAAAATTAGTATTGGGATTAGTGACAAATAGAAATTACAGTTGAACTTGCATGTCGAATCCAAAATGGCATTGAAAAATTGTTTGCCTTTGATGAAGTTCAACTTGCAAATTGTTAATTAATGGAAAACACAATTTAGCATATAAAATAAGATCGACTTAGAATTATTTTAGTTGAGCAAAATCAACTTAGGCAAGTTTAACTATATTTCCGAATTTGAAATAAAAATTATCAATTAAAAATATAAAATAAATAATTAAAATAATTTCCAGTCTGAAGTCGGAGATGCTACCTCAACGTGGTAGACTGGTGTCAACATCATTGGTAATCATGATGTTACAAATGATGGCTAACAGCATCACGCATTTTATTTGTCATATATTACAATGGTGATGGTGGGCGGGTCCAGCATTTTAAAGTTGTGCGCCAATATATATGGATAAATCAATCTTGTACTAGGGCCAGGAACCTAAGTAGTGAGGAACCTTGATTTGTGAAGCCCATGGAGTCCTGCCTGTATAACCTGCCTACTGAATAGCCACAGGTATTTGTCAAACTAATCACACAAGTTAGGTAAAGGTAAAAGTAGTCAAACCTGTACAGGCCAGTGTCCATCTCTCTTTTTCAGTGCTTGGGCCAGACTGTGAAATGCTGCAAGGGGGAGCAGCACACCTCATGGCAATTCTGTTTACCTTCCAAGCATATGCTGGTATGCTTGCGTCACACGTTCGTCAGGATATAGGTATTCAACCTTATGTACCTATTGAACTTAGATAACAGAGTCAATTTGGTACTACGCTTAATAATCAAAGCAAAACATACAGTGTCCTATTTTGTCAGCAATGAGTAAATTTATTACATTAATTCAATTTCAATACATTTTATGATGTACAGTACTATACTGTTATCGTGTTACACAATTTCAATACTGTCTGATAAAGGTGAACTTTAACATCTCCATACGGTACTGTATAAACAAAGTAATTTTAATAACAAGGTAAAGGAACTCTAGAAAATTTGTAATACAGTATTTACAAATAACATTAATTTGTATTGCAGGGTCTTTTTCAATTATCCATGATATAAGGTCCTTTATGCAGCTGGAGTTAATGGATATTTCTGCTAAGCCACGCGCCATTGATTTGTTACTATGGAAACTTAATGTACGTACACATGGCTTTAACATTTTCTGATTGCTCAGTGATTGACACTTTGGAAAGATCCAATGAATGATTTGAGTTCAGCTGAGGAGGTACAATCTGAAACCCCTAAAAATAAAAATTAGTACAATGAATTGCTTCCAATGAGACACAAATCCAAACAGTTCAGTTTTGCTGATAAAGACTTAGCTAAAGCTTAGTCTGCACTATCAAATTTTATGTGACAAAAAAATGTGATGTGCCCATATATGGGTACAATGATGTCATATCACATATCATCAAATTGTATCAAAAAAAAATTCTATGTTCCATCAAATTTTATGCGACGCTTTTTTTTAAAAATGAAATTAGATAGTGTAGACAAAGCTTAATACGATAAACTTTAAATTGAATTCTAGCCAATTTAATGGTCCATGCAAAGAATATAACAATGCATGGTATTACTTATTATTATTTATCTATTATTCATCTAATTTTCAATTGAAAGCTAATATACAGTAATGTACTAAGCCATTTAAATGTGACCGGCCCTGGCATGACCAGCCGTTCGTCGGAAAATGAAAATTAAGTTTTTTTAAATTTTTATATTTTGAATGAATTCTTATTTAACATAGTTGAAATTGGTTAAGTACTTACTGTTAGTAAAGTTTTGATTATTTAATTCGTTGGATATCATTCATGTTGGTTTTGAGAAAACAGCTCCAAAGATTCTAAAATCAATAGTTTTATTATTAAGATTTGTATTTTTAAAATAATTTATTTTATTATTAATTGATTAATATTTTGCAGAAATGTTCTTTGCTATATCTTCTTTTATAAAATGCAAACATCTGGAAATGTTCAAAATTCTGATTCTCGAATGTTTTGGATGCTTGTGCAAAATTAGATATTGCGACAAATGGAGGGTTTTGCCAGAGATGGTCACAAATGCTAAATTGCAGGTACAGTTTATTAACAGACTGTGTATCTTTATTAAAAACGTTTTTAATTTGGTTGATGTAAACCCACCATCAGGTTAATGGTAATCGAATTATGATATCCAAATACTGGTACTTTATTATTCATAGTTTTAAAAAAAATTATTTCTATGGACGTAAAGCATAAAATGTAACTGCATGGTATAACTTGGATGAGATATGCGTAATGCATGAAGTCAGTTCCTTGTTCCCAGTAATTTAAATATAATATCAGTTGTGTACCTTGGGGTATTCAAATGAGGAGGGTGGTCACATTGGAAAAGTGCAGATTAGAGCTCTAATATGAATCTGGTGATAATTGCTTGCGTATTATCTTTTTGCATAGTAAAATTTTTATTGGGGAGATATTTGCCTGGGGTGGAAATTGTCTATGGAAGATGGTGCCTAAAGGTAGATTCACACCAAATCCGAATTCGGTTCGTATCGCTAACTAAAGGAAAAAAAAAAGCAAATCAGTGGTAAAGAATAAAGGCACTTACTATTAGTACACGCCTTAGCAAATTCGGATTCGGTGTGAACCTACATTTATGCCCCATTAGTACCATAATGTGCAAGGTCAATATTTGAGGAAAAGAGAACATTCAAAAGAGTTAATGAATGTATATTCTTTAAACAATACAGTATTCCAGTTGTAGGTGTAAACATATCAGTTGTCATTGTCAGTGTAAAAATTTCTGCAGTCATATTGGAAATTATTCAAGTTCATCGTCTACAGCCATTGAGGGCGCACTTGTTGGAGTACCTGCTGCCGATGCTGCTGCAGAAGCTGCTAACCTCTGTAAAAAGAAGCCGAACAGAATAAGATACAAAGCATTTTCATTCATTTCATTTTTTAATTTTTATTTATTATTTTCAGGCAATATAAAATATAAAAAGACAAAGACACTAGGCGGAGGATAACCGAAAGTAAACTTAATTACTATCGAAAGGCTCTCCAAACAAAAACAAGACAAAATACTAATAAAAATAGCAAGCTTAAATATAGACAATGAAAAAATACAGAATATAACAATATAACCTAAAAATGCAGTCAACACTCTTTTAATGCAATAAAACTCATGCCCTGTAATTAGTATGTTATGATATTTTCATGTGCTACGTATTGAAGATAAACATACTATATTCTATCAATATAATAGTAAAAATACACTATAGTATCATCTTTATCAATCAAAAACTTGATACTACAAATTCAACTGTTGATATGTATTTATTTATATTCCACATATAATTTACGTTTACAGAATCAAATGCATAGAGACTGCCTCTCTGTAAAAAAAAACCTGCAAAAAAAAATGATAAATTTACTTTGAACATCTAAAGATCAAATGAGTTATGGATGGACATGGATCAAAACAAATGATCAGTTTTTGCACATTTTTTAGACACTCCTTCACATTTTTTACTTTAAGCTAAGCTTACATTTACCCTTGCAAATTGACTCAACTGACACCAACAACTGACCTTGCCAGAATCTGGCAAGCAACTGTGATTTGTGCACTTTGAGGTGACATAAAAGCTCAGTCGGCTGAACCGTGGAGATCTATTATACGTCCCCGTTTCAATTCCCATCGCTGCTCTTGTATTTCAGCTGGAGGACTGAAATAGTTACAAAAGCACACCGTCTTTTGGACGAGACCTTTAAGCTACTGGTCCTGTGTACAATATGGCCCATGTGCACTCTTCGGAAAATAGTAGGGGTTTGTCTTGCACTGTACTACTCAATTCACCACTGGAAGGATCCCAATGGAAACAAGTCTTAGGACTTAGTGGGTTATCCTTGGTGTAACACAATTACACAATTGCATTTGAACATGAGCACTACTACGGCTACTACTTGAGATCTGATGATGTCAGATGAGTCAAGTTGCAAGGGTGACATAAGCTTAGCTTGTACACAAAAAGCATTATCTAAAAAAAAAAACAAGACATGGCAAACATACTTGACTTGTTCCTGGTAGTTTCTGTATAAGCATCTGGAATACTTGAGGTGGAAGTGTCTGTTGGAGGACTTGTAACAGTTGTTGTGGCTGGCCACAAACTGCGACTGCATTGCTCAAATGATCAACACCATTGTCAAAATCACCTACAAATATTAACAAAAAAAAAAAACAACATAGGACTATATATATTTAGTTTTGCTTTAACCTTCCTGTATGATTATTAAAATGCTCATACCACGAAAGCTAAGACCACGAGATATCAGACCCACTCGAAATATCACTGAGACCCCGCAAATTAGAAGTGTGTGATGTTTGTGCACTTTTTCCTGCCCTGCTTTGTGCAACTGATTCCTACCCCCCTCCCCTAACTTTTTCGTTACAAAAGCAGCAAATCCTAATGAATGACAGTGGTTTTGCTGCTTCTCTTTCTCTTTGGCTTGTATATCAATTTCAGTGTTTACATTATTTTCTATTTTTTTATTTAGATTTTTTTAAATCTAATGTTTTTCTGAACTTTTTGTTTTGCATCGCCTTATTTATTTGTAAACTGTATTACCAACACATTAAATTACAAAAACAATTAAAAAAAAAAAAAATGAAATTGAATTGAGCAATGATGATGATAATGTGATATTGAAAATAATGATGATGATACGGAGTAGTAGTAGAGATAATTATCATGATGATGATTGTGGAGGTGATGGTGGTGGTGGCGGTGGTGGTGAATATGATGTTTATTATTGTGGTGGTGATGGTGGTGGTGATGACGGTGGTAGTGATGCTGATAATTGTGATAATGGTGGTGGTGAAGACAATAACGGTGGTAGTGATGATGACAAATGGTAGTGGTGAAGATAATGACGATGATGGTGAAATAATAAATGAAATTACCTTGGGCAAGTAATTCTTCTCCTAATTGTACTTCTTCAAGGAAAAACTTCTGTACAGCATCTGGGTTTTGCAAATCTGGTAACTAGATAAAAAACTTTAACAATAATAAATCAATTGACTACCTATTTTATACTATTATTGATTGACAAATACAAACTAAACATTTCCAAGAACATTTATCTAAAAGCATATACAAAGCCACAGACAAGAATACTGAAAGGTAAGCACAAAGCAATCAATTTCATCCCATACAAGCAGCAAACATGGATAACTTTAAGCCAAATTATCGAATTTTTAGCATTGCTTTCATGACTTTCTCCACTGTTATTATAGAGAGGTTAACTTGGTTCGAACTGCAAAAATTCATTAAACCATCTTATAGGTACTGTGTTTATCACTTTGTTGCCTAAAGGATTGCATAAGGATGAATTTGTCATACAGTACTGTACTACAATGGTATACTTTTTTGTCACGCATGACTTAATCCTGATCTTTTCATAAATTCAAATTCGACTGGTTCAAATGAAAAATGAATTTTTATACATTTTTAACTTATTTTGATTTGTGGAAAAACAATTTCATCAATCAGGTTTTCTATTATTATTGAACAAACAATGCATTCTTAATTCTTATAGAAGAGATAGATTCAATTCCATAATTCTAGGGCAACGTATGCCTATGTGGCACTGGCTGGCCACTACTATTGAGGATCTGAAATATTCAAAATATTATACTTTATAAATCACTATAAAAATCATCTGCTGTCCACATCTACTTTATTTTATCCTCATCCAATCCATAAATACATAAAATAACATCCAATCAGAATTAGCAGTTCATTTAAGACTGGTGTAACATAGTCCCCACTTACAAAATAATCATTAAAAAAAGGTGGAATGTATAAGTTGCTAACCTGACTGGGTCCTGCATTTTTACTTGGCTTTGACTTCGACTTTGCCCTCTCTAGAAAACAAAATGTAACATGATTGAGCTTTTGAATAAGAAATTAAATATTATTTTTGTTCACTATATTTAATGCCACGAAAGAAGTGAGAAGAAACTCAAAATTATACAGCTGATTATAATAATACTGGATTTATATAGCGCCTAACGTCGAGGCGCTTAACAACAACAAAGAAGAAAATAAACCATCAACTAATGTACAAACGTACAGTAAATTATTTATCCAATATATTTTTTAGGGTTAAATTAGTTAAATTTAGTTATTGATTAACAGATTCGTGCAATGTAATGTATGAAATTTGATTAATATGCCCTGATGTTTTTTCCTTATTTGTCTGATTTTTGTATTTTATATTGCAAGCTTCGAATTTGGGGATTTTATGGGCAAGGCCAAATGGCCTCTGGTATGACATGATTTTGAAAGGCACCAAGGCCAAATGGAAAGGCACCAAGGCCAAAATTTCAAGTATAAACGGGCACCCAAGGCAAAATTTGATTTAGCCTTAGTACTATTTCTCACGCGTGCCTTGATTCATTGTATCCAGGCTAGGCTAGCTAGGCCTAGCCATCGTTGTCAATGGTAATATGACTTGGTTGAGAGTATTAAATATTAATTATCGATTCAATGTTGGAATATACTGCGGCGGTCGGCGATCCTACAAAACAGTCAAATTTCAAGAAATTTGATATCTTGTGTTGTTGCTCAATGCGTCGTCATCAGAGAGGAAGCCATAACTCTAAGCTGGCCGTCATGAACTAGATTAGCCGAGTGTCAACCAATTACGTTAATTTTACACGCTTAAGCTGCGATGACGTAAGATCGCCCAAAGTTACTGTAGCTGCGCAGCAAGCACATGTTTACAAACTACAGTACAATGTTTACTGCAATAACCGCTCGAGTAAGACGCATGCGTACACAAACACAACGGTAACCGCAAAAACAGTTCGTATCAACCAGTGTTCTCCCCAGGCCCTTGAAGCATCATGGTACCATGATGCTTGGGACTTTCCCATTGATGCTTGACAGTTGGCCATGATGCTTGGAACATCTTCCATGATGCTTTTATTATGGTATGACATGGCCTGCTTTTAAATAGTCTTAAAGTGCAATTTAGGACATTTCAATACATCCTAATTATTAAAAATACCTTGTGTCAATTCTCCAATTCAGCTTTCAAATGCAAATGTATTTTTAATTTAGGTCCAAATTGCATTTTAAAAATTTATCATTGCGGGCTGAATGGCGAATGTTTGACATTTCAGATGCCCTTGGACCTTCAGGCACTGGTTCTATAATAATACTTTCAGTTTCGATGTTGCTTTTTACAGATGATCGGCATCAAGCGGAGGAAAGGTTGGACCCTCAGCCTCAGTATATCCCAGAATACAGATGTACAACGAAAATGTTTAATGGTGGATGGAATAGTAATGGCCGTATTTGACTGGTCGTTCCTCGTTAAACCGTGCCCAATGGCACAGTGGCAAAATCCTACTTAACAAAGACGACCAGTCGAATAGAAAACTGGTAAATACTCAACAAGAAAAAATGGCTGTTACCCCGAAACACGCTGCGTAATCAAGATTGCTTCGGCTTGTGACAGCATGGGTTTTTTGTAAAAAAAGTTTTCATCCAGTTTTTAAATTCTGTTAGCTTACAATTATTTTTTGACTTAATGAAATTTAATCGAAAATATTAATGCCAAATGTTGTTGCTAAACTGAACAATCGGCCATGTTTGTTTTGGTCACATGGATAACTTAACGCTGATTAACGCACTCTGGTTTACGTTATTTTTCGTTGTCAACAAAGTCTACTCTAGGCCCCTATTTTACAAACAAGTCGAATAAAAATTAACATGTTAATTTTTATACACTGCCCTTGGTCCAGGCTTACCTAGGCCTAGTGGTAAAACATTTGTTTACAAACTTTTATAGAATATTCCTTTTAAAATTAGGTAGGCATAAAGGCATATGACCGGTTGAGCCGCCGGTAATTTCTATGGAATGCCAAGCGCGTCTCCCAGTGAATGTAGTGCGTCTCTCAGTGAATGAACCCCCTCGGATACCAGCTACATATTCATCCCACAGTCTTGTCAGTCGTTGATTTGCTCGTATTGCCGTTCGTGATGTATAAGTTGTGTAATTGAAAATTAGAATTTTGCTTATTTTATGTACTACATTTTTATAAAAATAAATGAAGTTGTGTAATTGCAAAATCGTATTAAAAATGTAATTTTATGTACTACATTTAATATAAAAATAAATGAAGTTGTATAATTGCAAAATTGTATTAAAAATGTAATAACTTGATTATGTTTAATGTGTTTATTTACGTTTGGTTTGCGGCGTATTTCAATTAACTTATTATTAATAAAACAGTAATAAGTAAAATTAGTAAAACCAATGATTTTAAATAGACAGATGACTATAAACAATAAATTGAAATGTGTTAGGCCTATGTTATTATTACTATGGTTTTGTAATTTATATATTTTTATTTTTGTACTATTTGTAAAACTTATATATAATAAATGATAAGAATGTATGGAGTTTTTTTTTAAACTATCTTGCATTGCAAGCCGCCTGAATTAGACAGACGACTATAAACAATAGATTTAAATGTGTTAGGCCTATGTTATTATACAGTATTTACTATGGTTTTGTATATTTTTATTTTTGTACTATTTGTTAAACTTATATATACAGTAATAAATGATAAGAATGTATGGAGTTTTTTTTTTTACTATCTGGCAAGCCGACTGAGCAAATACTCACAAAATGTAAATTTAAATGATAGAAAGAACAAGTAAATAAATTGAAATACGTCCCAAAAATATTTAATAAATCAGTGCAAAAACCGAGTATTAAATAAATTGAAATAATTGAGTACATAAACTGAAATACATCCCAAACAACAGTACCAAGAACAAATAAGTTAATTGAAATACGCCGCAATTAACGCACTACATTCACTGAGAGACGCGCTTGGCGTTCCATAGAAATGACCGGCGGCTCAACCGGTCATAATCCGGCATAAAGCTATGTTTAAATGAAACAAGAGATATACAGTATTAATTAATTTCAGACCTGGATCTCCTTGCTTGGCCTGCAGCTCGACGAAGGAAGGTCAACAAAATATTTCATTAATCTAGGCCTAGGCCCACACTAGGGCCAGGCCTAGTACTCTAGTAGTACTGAGAGTGGTAGTAGTAGGCGTTGCCTATTTATTAGGTCAGGACTATTTTTTCTAGTACATAGGCCTAGGCCAGGCTTCGTTTCGCTAGTCCAGGCTGCAGGCTACTGAACCGACTAAGCAACCATGCCATGCAATTCATTTTATTGTATTGATGGCATTGTTTTTAGCTTACTTTCTTTTAGTTTCTCCCGAAAATCTGGTGCACTGCGTCTTTTGCGATCAAAATATACACAATATCCCAGAAAGAGTGAACCAGCAATTCCAGCTATAATACCTACTGCTGCTTTGGAATTCATTACTAACATTTTAATCGTCATTAAATAATAATAATATTGCTTAGGTGGGCCTAGCCTCGCAGGGAATACGAATGAAATTTCCTCAATGCAAGCATGTGGTGTTGTGGGCGCGCTAGCTTCGAGCGATTTTTTAGCGGCCGGGATGAATTTCGAGCGGATACTGGTTCGAGCGGAAATAGAACAAACCACTTTTGCGGCTCGACCATTATGGAACGCCGTTACTGCCTTTGGTGGCTCTTTTTCGTTCGGCGCATTTGCTATTCGGCCCTTTTAACATTACGTTCGGTGCTTTTACATTACGTTCGGTGCTTTTACATTACGTTCGGTGCTTTTTACGTTACGTTCGGTGCTTTTTACATTACGTTCGGTGCTTTTACATGACGTTCGGTGCTTTTTACATGACGTTCGGTGCTTTTTACATGACGTTCGGTGCTTTTTACATTACGTTCG